CAAATTTGAACTATTGGTAGTCAGGAGGATATAGAGAGATAGAGAGGTATAAATGGTAATATCATTTTATTTCAGAAAAGCAGCTGTTTCTAAAATCTTGTGAAAGGCTTTGATCAAATGTAAAAATCACTAATATTTTTAGATGATATGAAATGTTCTGCTATTGTTGTTTTTTTCTGCATATATATATATATATATATATATATATATATATATATATATATATATATATATATATATATATATATATATATATATATATATATATATATATATATATATATAAAGTAATTAAGCAGGTTATCAGTGCTACTTTTTACCTGAAACACATTTTTGTTCAATAGCCTGAAAACTGGTTGCCTGGGAAGTAATATAACACTTGGTATTTGGAACACCTGGTTCCCTTAAAAAATTAAATTTCCTAAGTTACTGTTTTTTGTTTTGTTTGTTTAACTGTTAAATCAGCTTTGACCATCTTTAGACAGCATGGTATCCATGCAGTGCTTTAATGTCTGATTTGCAAATTTACATGTTTGCAAATTTACTAAAAAACATATTAAGATGGCAAAACATTGATATTTAATGCATGCACAGTTTTTTTTGTTCATGGCAGCTATAGGAGTAAATCAGCTTGTCATTAAATGACTTACATTCATCAGTTACTTTATATTTGTAAGTTTTATATTTTTGAGATATTGTTGCAAAAAAAGAACACTACAGTAGAAATACAACAATTATTTAAATATACACACAATAAAAATCAGCTAAAGACTTGAAGTATTACCATCTATAATTAACACAATTACATTTGGAGCAGTTATATTATGGTGTAACCAAAACAGCTAATGTTTCTCTTTCTTTCTCTGCTTCTCAAAAGCTTCTACTTCAGAAATGTTTTATTCTATTACCATGGGAACACAGCAATCCAGCAAGTTGGTATATCTAAAATAATCAAAATAATGAGGTAATCATATAATTCATAAAATCATAATGTACACTTTAATTTGTTTGATTTCATTGTGGTCAGTGTAAGGTTTTCGCCATCCAAATGATCTGTGAAGATTCTCAGTCATCCAGTTCATGGTCAAGCTGGCAAAAGTAGACCAGGCAACTGGACGTGAAGTTTTTTAAAAGATGTTTTGGGGGGGGGGGGGGGGGGGGGGGGGGGGGGGGGGGGGGGGCACTGAGATTAATATACTGTAGGTCTAACAAAGAATTAGTGGGGGACAAAGGGTTGCTTTGCTAACTGAGATATCATTACATTAAGGTTATGTTATATTTGTTTTACAAACATTATTTTAATCTTTATTTGATTTCATTCTGCTTTTATTTTTCTTTTATAATATATCTAATTCATGTAAAGAATTTTGAATTGTCCATGTACTGAATTGTGCTATACAAATAAACTTGCCTTGCCTAATATAAACATTGTAGCAGCTCTAGAGAGTTCTACTCTGGACAGACTGGAATACGAGGCAGACTTAGAGGAGGGCCCCCTGCCAAAACTTAGCCAGGGGCCCCAGCATGATTTTAATCCTAAGAAGATGGATGGATGGGACTCTTGAGTCTTGTTTTAGGGGAAAATTACAAAATGCTTTTGGTCCCATTTACTGTAAAATAAAACTAGAAGAAAAAAAGAAAACAGTCCTGCAAAAAACTGGCAAACTGTTCGGGTTGCACAGCACTCTTAACCAATAGATTGCTGGAGATAGGCACCAGCTAGGTGACCCTGATGGATAAGCAGAGGAATATGAAAGACTGGATGAAAAGATGGAAAATAAGAAAATCTGACTGATTAACTATTTCCTTATGTGGTGCCTTACTTTTCCTTTTGACAGAATATTCTTATGTGGATTTGTTTTTTTTTTGTTTGTTTTCTTGTGCTGTAAATACAGAAGGCTCCAGTGTAACAGTTAAGAACAAGCCTTGACCTGAAAGTCCAGAGAACACAATGAGACACTACACTGCAAAAAATCTAAATCTATATAAGTATTTTTTTCTTAAAATAAGTGCATTTGTTCTTGAATTAAGGAGGTAAAAGAAACTTTTTGCCAACGGAACAAGACAATTTACACTTAAAATAAGAAAACACAATTGCATTGTCTTATTTCAAGTGCATATTATCTAATTATCTTATTTTAAGAGTAAAATGACTCATTCCATTGACAAACTACCTCATTTACTTACTCAAATTAAGGGTGAATACACTTAATCTAAGAAATTTTTACTTAATTTTTCTAGATTGTTTTTGCAGTGTAAAGATCTGGCAGGTGACTTGCAGGCCATCTGGCATTATGAGAGGAGGACTGAGCCACTCACACTCGACCACGATCACTGACCTGTACCACCATCCCACAGTGCCACCCTCTGGTCAAAGGTGCACATGGCATGTGTGAAGTCATACCTTACAAGACAAATTTCCCTGACTCTTTTAGAGTGCAGGCCGATATTCCACGTTTCATCTTCACTGAGATGAAACAATCTAACCAGTGATGACTCACAAGGGCTTCACACTTTCATCAGTAAAAGTCACACTAACATTTTCTTTAGGCATGCCTATATGTGCTCTTGTGCGAGCAAACAGAATAGACAAAGACTGCTGGATAAGGTTTCCAAAGGTCTTCAAAAGAACTGAGAGAAGTCCAGTTGCTTTCCAATTTATGCCTGTTGTGATTTACTTTCGGATTAAGTTGACATACCAATATATACCACACTTGAAAAGCGGTTGATTTAGACAAATTTTATTGTCATTTTTTATGCACAGGGTGTATACAAAACAAAATTTTGTTGCACACAGCTTACAACAGTGTAATTAGATTGCAGTTTGGGTAAGATAAACATTACCAAGACAAAGTGCGGCAGTGATCAGAATTTAACAATGTAGGAGAAAAAGAAAACAGTTTAAATAATGGGGCAAAAGGGCATTAGTATGAAAAATATCAGTAAAGTGCAACACTAACTGGCCCGTTCAATTTTATTTGACTTGGCATTGATGAAGATCAAGTTTATTAGGTCAAGTAGATTAGTTTGCTCCATGTTTTCTATTTTGTAGTATTTTCTAGATTTATTTTAGTGCTCAGGTTTTTCTTTGTTTCCTTCTTGTGGGTGTTCCTTTCCCCTTGGCTTCCTCGTTGTCTCCTCTCACACCTGCTCCTTATCAGCTCGTTAGCCCTGCCTTTGTTTCAGTCAGCAATAGGCTCTATGCACAGCTCCACTACTTCCTGAATTTAATGCAGCTCCTTGGTTTCCTGTCTTTCATGATTGGATGCACTGATTAATCCAGGTGTGTATGACCTAAGTAACTGGCCAGACACACCTGGTTTAATCAGTTCGTCCAGTAATGAAAGACAGGAAACAAAGGAGCTGCCTTAAATTCAGGAAGTAGTGGAGCTGTGCATAGAGCCCATACTCCCTCTGCTGTCACTCTTGGCTGGTTCCTTGTCGTTGTTGGCCTGTTCACAGGATTGTTGCTAAAAAAAAAAGGCAAGTTTTGTTTTGGAGAACAGAGATATTAATATTTAGTTTAAATACATTTTACAGGTCCTAGTATTTTCAACAAGCGAATGATTGTTGTTACCCCGTCATGTCATTATTATAAAATGTTATTTTTATCTTATTATAGCCTGCACCTCATGCTCCAACTTTTTTCTGTCCCACATGTAACATTCATCTGGTGAACAAAAATAAAGATTGATTTTTTTCTTTTAAAGAAATATCAAATAACTTGTTTACGAGTAAATAACTTAGAAAAGGCTTAGAGAGGCAATTGGCAACTGTTTTCCACTCAATCAGCTCCAAGTTTAGTTAACCTGCTGATTTTAAACAGCTTTCTGAGGTACTTTCCACTTATCAGGCTCCTTCCTATATAACAATAAAACCACATAGTGCAGCTGGAGCCAGTAGCTCCTTAAACCAAAATCCTTCATTAGACCAGAACTTTCCAACTGTAATGCTTCAATCTTCCAAACAATCTTTCTTTTGTGGGTGTTGTCTTGAGAATCTGGCCTTGATGACAAAACAGCTGTAGTTAGTTTTATTTAATGTGCCAATACTTCAAATGTTTTAGGATAATATCATTGTATAAACTATTCTTCAATTCAGTTTCCTTCATTTCCATGTTAATTCTCATCTGTTAAGACAAATTATAAAAATGTTAAGTTTAATCTATTAAAATCTCAGTCACCATCTCGAGAATAACATTCTGGAAATATTCATGAGATGCAATTTTTAGTTTAAGAATAAACAATGTCAAGCTAAAGGCTTTAATAAACTCAAATAGTAAACATTTCTGAATATAACCCGACTCTAAAATAAAAAAAAAAACTTTAATTTCAAATTGGTATTTAATGTAAAAAAAAAAGGGGTTCTGCTCACCATTATTTCTCCTAACCCAAAAAAGGATTCCAGCAATTCCAATAAGAATGAGTCCAACACCTCCGGCAACATAAGCGACTGGAAACACTGAAGGAGAAGCTGAGGAGATCCATAAACAAGAGTTACTTTAAAATCTACAGAAATCCCACAATGTATAAATAAAGAGGCTCCTTATGTATAATAGAACTTAGAATAAGTTATGAATATTTCAAAACTAAAGTTTAATGAGAAAAAAGCTCAATGATGAGTTTAAGAGTTAATAAAATAGACTGTAAAAGAACCAGAATAACAAAAAAGACAGACATCCTATAAACCACTCCATACTTAATAAGATTGCTTTTACCGGGAGTAACTACAGCTAGGAGTACATATGATAAGGTGCTATGACCGCTAGCAGCTAAAGTGAACACAAAGATCATCTTAATTCCAGATGGAAAAAGAAATGGACAAACATATTAATTTTAGGGAATTTACAAGGGGCAAATTATGAGTAGTCAAAAAAAAAAAGTTTGTCAAAGCCTCTGCTTATCAAGGGTGTAGAAACAGAGGGTGTCGTGTAGTGATCTAATGATTGAGCGGCCTCGTTGGAGCAAATGACTTGGGTTTTATTACTGATGCTTATTTATTTATTTGCGAACATTTATCAGCATATAAGGGATTAAAACAACCCTTACCCCAATTTGTACGGATTGTGGATTTATCCAATTTGACGATGATGTTGTCTTTAAAATCAGAGAACTCAAACACACAGTCGTATCTCTTCCAGTCTTCAGGCTGGACAGATGAAACGTTTAACTCAACACTCATCTGGAAGGTTCCATCATTGTTTGCAAGGATCTCTCCTTTCTCCACAGCCTCATGAATCTCTTCTCCATCTCTTCTCCAGAAAATGTCAGCAGTTTCGGGGTAGAAACCTGTAGCATGGCAGGTCACCACAGAGGTGGGAGTCCTCTGGAGCAGAGACACAGAGGGTCTTTCTATTTAAGAAAAAAATTATAATAAAAAAGATGATCTTTGTAATTAATTTGGACAGATCCTGTTGTTGCTGCATTTAAATTGTGTCATAAATATACCTTTCTTCTGCAGAAAGCTCCTCCCATGATGAACATATCTCTTTAACCAGTCGGAACATATATAGAAGTAAAAATGTTTATACTCTTCTAATCTAGCTTTCATGGTGTCCCATGTGAGTTTTGTGAGTACAGCTTGTGGTTTGGTAGCAATCCATGTCAGGGTCTTCAGGTCCAGGGCTAAGATGTCTTCCCCATTATAACCATACTGATCATATCCTGTAATTTCTCCAGTCTCCTCATCCCACTCACAGCCATCCATTATCTGCAAAATGTAGGGACCTTAAAGACAAGAAAAAAAGACATAATTAACAAAAGAATGTACACTAACATATAAAAAAAGGAAAAGAGTTAATCAAAATCATTAAAAAATAAATGTTTCTAAGACAGGAACAGACTTTAACATCTCATACATGTACCACCAAATTGAATTTAACAAGAAAATAAATAAAAGAAGATAAACTAAAGGCAGACATGTACTGTTTTGTTTTGTTTTTTTTTACAGTTTGAGGTAAGAGAGACACTAACAAATTCATGAATAAGGAAAAAGTTTATGATGAGGTTAAATGTCGCCTTTTTTGCAAGGATTATATTGTTTCATACTGTGTTGTTTTACAAAACGCCTCTAGGTGGTGCTGCATTCAAGACATGAAAAATAAGCTAATAGAGCATCAGAGCACTTCAGTTAAAGAAAGGATGTAAAAGTATCTGGAAAGAAGACAAAGGCCTCTTTTCTTTAGTATCCAACAGCCACCAATAGATTTATGTTTTTGATTTTGTTGTTTTCATAAACATCTAATGTTTATTATTGAGAGTTGTCTCTAATTGTTCTAAAGACTTCATTGATTTTTTTTGTCTGCATGCGTGTTTGTGTGCTGAATTTTTAATAAATTCATAGTCTAAAACTAAACTTTTGTGGACCTGTTTCACATGATTATGATGACAGTTATAGTTTACCTTGTAACAGGAGACGCTGGCTCCCTTTGAGAGTCACATTACACCATAAAATGATTAATAAATGTTATTCTTTTAGTTTTACCTTGAACATGCTATTTGTTTCACTATGCTTTTAAAATCCTACAAACCTTGTTCACAAAATGATGTCACTAATCTGTAATTCATTCTTATGTGTGTATTTCAGTTAGTTCAGTATATATTCAGTTCATAAAGCCGCAGCCACACCTTGACGATTTAGCCAGGCTGATGTACGAAAAATCTGGCTAAAACTGGGATAAGTTGGATAACTTAGTATAACCCCAGGCTCACACCGACTCCGGTCTTACCGTTGCGGTGCGGTGGGTGCGGCGCCGCAGTGATTCCAAGTCATTAAAAAGACGTAAACCTCTCTCACCGGCTGCTGAGCTGTCCGGCTGCGGTTACCGAGTCACTCCGGCGCTGCAGAAAATTCCGCAAGAAAGCTATCCTTGCGGCGTGCCGGAGCCCTCCGCAACAAGCTCTCGCAAATATCCTTATTTAGGCCGTGTTATCGCGTGAAGTTAAGTGAACTCAAGTGAACTTCTGTTAAATCTCCGGACCTGTTGCCGGAGCCGCAGAGCCGCACTGCACAGTAGTCAAAAGGGTGGTGTGCGGGAGTTGAGGTCTCCGTCGGCTCGGTAACCGCACCGGAGCCAGTGTGAGCAAGGGGTAAGTTATGAGCATGCTGAAGTATTCTGAACCATAGTGACTCATGCTGGCACATGTTGACATACACCAAGAAGGTATGCCAGCGTATGCTCATTTATGGGCCATAAGTTCCAGGTAATTTATCTGATGGTTGACATCCATTAAGTGTCAGTTACTCATAAGTCATGGTGTCTAGCTTATCTAAAACCTATGAGTAACTTGTGCATAACTTATGCGTAACTTATCAAGAACTTATCTCCAACGTATATCAACGTGTCTGACGTGTTTCTAACTTACAGCTACTGTATGATGAGGTATTGGCAGCGTTTTGGTATAAAAGTGGGTTCAATGGAGGAAACCGTTCGTTCTCCTCCAGACTTTATCCCCATCATAGGGGAAGCCAGAAGGTGAGTGTGATGGATCCTCCCTGCGTTCATGCCCTCGGCCACGACCAACAAACTTCCTAGCAGACACAATGCTGAATCTGCTGCGACTGCAAGCCTTCTGTCTTTCTTTTTCTTTGTATTTATTTATTTATTTTTTTTATTTTGACGGGCAGTAAACAGCAGCTAGGTTAATATCGCGATCAAAAACATATTTTTAAGCAGGCTGGGCGCCTCCGGGTGATTTGCTGCCCCACTCACGTCACTGGCTTGTGCATCAAAGAAATATTTTAAATATTTAGATACCTTTTTAAATACAGCTGTTCTCAAAATGTACTTTTTATCTGACAACCAAGCTCTAAATGGAATACATTCTCTGACTGATTTGATATGGCTGTATAGATCAGCCTGATTTACCATTTTGGGATAAAATTAATTCAAGTTGACTGACTGGTTTTATTTCAAAACACTCTCAGTCTGCTGAAAAAATTGCTTTGTAACTGTGGAATAATTTTACTTGAAAATATTCTTGACATTATTTTCATTTTTAGCCACTTTTTAAAGTATTCTTAACAATATCAAAATAAGCAAACTGCTTCCTATTTTTAGTTAACTAATAAAATCCAAATCACGTCACTGGCTTGTGCATCATTTCATGGGAATTATGCTGCCATGCATTAGGAATAAGTTATGCTGTCTTTAGACAGAAGTATTAGACATAAGCATAATGAATACTCTATGTATAAACCCAACTACATTGAAAGTTCAGTGTATGCCAGCGTTTTAGAAGATTTTGGGACGTCAAGGTGTGACAGGGGCTTTACAGGTCCTGCTGTAGAGTTGGAAGACAAAATACATGGAAATTCAATCAGTTGTACTATTGCACTGTTCTTTATCATTTACAGGAAATATGGCAAGCACTGTATACTGAAACCTAAAGCCAATATAGGCGAAGAAAACATGTTTATTAAAAAAGTTCCTTACCTTCAGTGAGGTTTAAACGTTGCTTCAAGCTATTCATGTCTGCTTTAAATACATGTTGACTTTGAAGACACCTCTGAGAATACCACTTCAGGTGGTTGGGATTATTTTCAAACAGTTTCATCATCCAGTCTTGTTTGGGCTTGACGGTCTTGATGTTGCTGTCATAATATCCCATCTGAACTTCATTTATTGTTGCAACCGCAACAAACTCTGGAAAGCCTGGGACTCCGTAGGTAGCAGTACGGAAATATCTCAGGGAATGTTTCACTGAAGGGTAGAAATTAGAATATTTAGTTGTTGTTTTAAATTGTTACCTTTTTACCTACTTTTTTTGACTTTTACCTACTTTAAAGCTTTGATTTGTATGAAACATTCTACTGCTGAAGATCTTACACTCATAATAAAAGCATGACATTTAAAACAGCCATCTATTTTCTGTCACGCTTATCCCAAGTGGGGTCACAAGGGGTGCTGGTGCCTATCTCCAGCTGTCTATGGGAGAGAGGTGTGGTACACCCTGGACAGGTCCCCAGTCCATTGCAGGACAACACGGAGACAAACAGGACAAACAACTGTTCACACACACACTCCCAGCCCCACACTCCCAGCTAAGGACAATTTAGAGAAACCAATTAACCTAACAGCCATGTTTTTCGACTATAGGAGGAAGCCAGAGTACCTGGAAAGAACCAATGCATGCCCAGGGACAACATGCACGCTCCATGCATAAAGACCCGGGCCGGGATTTGCACCCAGAACCTTCTTGCTGCAATTCAGCAGTGCTACCCACTGCATCACTGAGGAGCCCAACATTTAAAACAGGAATATGAAATCTGACCAATAGAAAGAAATATCTTTATAATACTACGGTATATAAATAGTCTTTATCTTTTTTAGACAGAGTATTTTACAGTTAGCAGCAATAATAAACAGGTAGCGATGGCAGCCAGCTGGGTCTAGATACGCAGACACATACAACTAGTTTAATAAACTGTTAGATTTCAGACTCTTACTAATAGATCTTATACAATGTTTTAGTAACTTACCTGCCGCCACGTTATGTAGAGTTATTCCCAACAGAACCATGAAACTCAGCAGCTTCTTCATGATTCCTCATCTAAACTTTCAAAAACACGATGAACTTGATTTCAGCGCGGATCTGATGTTCTCCTTTCCACCACTGGAGACATCAGGCTGGAATATCAACCTTTACTTTAACCATTGAGAATTCAGCTTTAATGTCAACGTCACTTGAAACGGGGAAAAACTGGACCAGCAAGTTTACTAATGAAACAGAAAGTAAGACAGAGAGGTAGGACTAAATGGTAATATCATTTTTATTTCAGAAAAGCAGCTGTTAATTGTCTTGGGAAAAAAGTATTCGACTATTCATCCTAGTTAAATAAACAGAGATCGATGGATTTCACTCAGTCGGCACATTTATTCATATCTTTGCAAAGAGAGAACAGTTCATCCTACAGCCTTAATGGCACAGCATTCTGCTCTGTTCTGGGCAGCGTTCGTCCCCACCCTACTTACAACAATGAAAAGCAGTCAGAGTCATAACAAATTACACACACTTTGGTTAACAGCAACATGTTGTGAATAAACCTTGAGAAAGAATCTGGATTGTTATTGGAAAAAGCTATGTCTGACACTAGCATAAAAAAGGGAAAAACACTTTTCACTTTGCCTTGAGTGGTCCAAAATTGATAACGTTTTACTGAAACTAAAATTACATACTATTCAGCCTTACATTCCATAACCTGCCTCCACAAAAAAATAAAAACTCTGTGATAGCTTATGTTGATCCTATCACACAGTTTATTATTAATCTACTTGTGGAGCCAGCAAATGGTATGGCTCAACAATGTCATATACACTCACTGGCCACTTTATTAGGTACCCCATGCTAGTAACGGGTTGGACCCCCTTTTGCCTTCAGAACTGCCTCAATTCTTGGTGGCATAGATTCAACAAGGTGCTGGAAGCATTCCTCAGGGAGTTTGGTCCATATTGACATGATGGCATCACACAGTTGCCGTAGATTTGTCGGCTGCACATCCATGATGCGAATCTCCCGTTCCACCACATCCCAAAGATGCTCTATTGGATTGAGATCTGGTGACTGTGGAGGCCATTTGAGTACAGTGAACTCTTTGTCATGTTCAAGAAACCAGTCTGAGATGATTCCAGCTTTATGACATGGCGCATTATCCTGCTGAAAGTAGCCATCAGAAGTTGGGTACATTGTGGTCATAAAGGGATGGACATGGTCAGCAACAATACTCAGGTAGGCTGTGGCGTTGCAACGATGCTCAATTGGTACCAAGGGGCCCAAAGAGTGCCAAGAAAATATTCCCCACACCATGACACCACCACCACCAGCCTGAACCGTTGATACAAGGCAGGATGGATCCATGCTTTCATGTTGTAGACGCCAAATTCTGACCCTACCATCCGAATGTCGCAGCAGAAATCGACTCATCAGACCAGGCAACGTTTTTCCAATCTTCTATTGTCCGATTTCGATGAGCTTGTGCAAATTGTAGCCTCAGTTTCCTGTTCTTAGCTGAAAGGAGTGGCACCCGGTGTGGTCTTCTGCTGCTGTAGCCCATCTGCCTCAGAGTTCGACGTACTGTGCGTTCAGAGATGCTCTTCTGCCCACCTTGGTTGTAACGGGTGGTTATTTGAGTCACTGTTGCCCTTCTATCAGCTCGAACCAGTCTGGCCATTCTCCTCTGACCTCTGGCATCAACAAGGCATTTCCGCCCACAGAACTGCCGCTCACTGGATGTTTTTTCTTTTTCGGACCATTCTCTGTAAACCCTAGAGATGGTTGTGCGTGAAAATCCCAGTAGATCAGCAGTTTCTGAAATACTCAGACCAGCCCTTCTGGCACCAACAATCATGCCACGTTCAAAGTCACTCAAATCACCTTTCTTCCCCATACTGATGCTCGCTTTGAACTGCAGGAGATTGTCTTGACCATGTCTACATGCCTAAATGCACTGAGTTGCCGCCATGTGATTGGCTGCTTAGAAATCAAGTGTTAACGAGCAGTTGGACAGGTGTACCTAATAAAGTGGCCGGTGAGTGTATAAATATGCTAGATTGTAGCCATTGGCTAATTTCCATCTGTTGTCCCTGGACAGGTTAAAGGGGAGTTTTTTTTATTATTTTTTTTTTTTACATTGGTGTCATGATCAGTTACGAATCGGACCCACATGCAGAGATGACCACTCAGAAAACAAGGACAAGGTTTAACAGGTTTATTGAAGGAGTAAAGGAGTAGGATGTGGAACTCAGTGAGCTGGTGACCCGGAACTGGAAGTGAGAAGTAAGTTCAATGGTCAGTTCAGGTTCTGTGGGAATCTTGGAAGCGCTGATATTTAGCGTAGCTTGGAACTCACATTTGCGGGGTGCCTTGTTAGTCCTTGAATCCAGACTGTGTGGAGAATCCAGAGTTAGGTGCACACATTCGAGGGCGGACAGGTAGACTAGCGTTAGATCCGGAGGAGCAATGGAGTGGACTGTCACTCGGATTTCCAATGGGAACTTGAACGGAACATGTGGAGGTTTTGCCCTGCTCAGTGTAACTCTGTTTATCCTTCCAGGGGAGAGAAGGTCCAGGTATCCAGTAAAACAGGAATGCTTCCTGCCGAGGAGCAAAGACAAAAAGAAGTTAGACTCAGAGAAACAAAGCTAGATTAGACTCAGCTTAACTCAGCTTGGCTAGAGTATCCAAAACTAGCAAACAGTCTGGCGTCGAGGTAGTGACAGCCCCCTGCTCAAATACTCCTCCAGATAATGATCCAACAAGCCGCAGGTGTGCAGGGAGGGACAGCGAAGACAGGGCACCTCCTGGTGGTGGAAAAACGGAGAGACACAAATAGACTTAGACTTAGACTTAGACTTAGACTTCTTTATTTGTCATTTTGTATGCACAGGGTGCATACAGAACGAAATTGCGTTACATACAGCTTATGAACGTTGCATTGATATTTCACAATGGCACGAGTTATAGAAAAATACAAAAAGTGCAGCAGTGGTCAAAGTGTGAACAGTGCAGAGGATAAGAGACAGTGTGCAAGTTGCAGTGGTTCAGTGCAAAATGGCATTTGTGCAAAAAATGCGTTATTGAAAAATACAATGAGATGAACAATTTAAAGGGCTAAAAGTTAAAAGTTCAGCAGCATTTGATGCCCGATAATGTGCAATAGGTGCAGAGTTCGGATTGTGGATCAAAGGTTCAACAGTCTGATGGCAGTGGGGAAGAAGCTGTTGCACAACCTGGTGGATCTGCAGCGGATGCTGCGGAACCTCTTTCCAGAGGGCAGCAGGGAGAACAGTCCATGGTGGGGGTGTGAGGGGTCTTTGATGATATTACGGGCTCGGGACACACAGCGCTGTGATGAAATGTCCTTAATGGAGGGAAGAGGAGCCCCAATGATTCCTTCCGCTGTCCTCACCACCCTCCTCACATTCTTCCAGTCAGAAGCTCTGCAGCCTCCACACCACAGAGAGAGACAGCTGGTCAGAACGCTCTCTATGGTGCTTCTGTAGAAGGTTGTGAGGATGGGCGGGGGCAGGCGGGCTCTCCTCATCCTCCGCAGAAAGTACAAGCGCTTCTGTGCCCTCTTCACTAGAGATGAAGTGTTTACAGTCCAGGTGAGGTTGTCCGTGATGTGCACCCCCAGGAACTTTGTGCTGCTGACCACCTCCACAGCTGAGCTGTTGATGAGCAGTGGAGCATGGTGGGGGCGGTTTTTCCTGAAGTCGACGATGATCTCCTTCGTCTTCTCCACGTTCAGGATCAGACTGTTTTCACTGCACCAGTCCACCAGCTGCTCCACCTCCTCTCTGTAGTCCCGGTCGTTGTCGTCCCTGATGAGGCCCACCACCGTGGTGTCGTCCGCAAACTTCACGATGTGATTGGTGGTGAACCTGGGGACGCAGTCATATGTCATCAGGGTGAACAGCAGGGGGCTCAGGACGCAGCCCTGAGGGGAGCCCGTGCTGAGGGTGATGACATCAGAGGTGTTCTGACCGACCCGGACTGACTGAGGTCTGTTGGTGAGGAAGTCCAGCAGCCAGTTTCGAAGGGGTGTGTTGAAGCCCAGATGTTCCAGCTTTCCCACCAGGTGCTGTGGGATGATGGTGTTAAACGCTGAACTGAAGTCCAGGAACAGCATCCGCACGTGGGTGTTCTTCTCCTCCAGGTGGGCCAGGCTCAGGTGAAGAGCAGAGGAGATGGCGTCCTCAGTGGAGCGGTTTCGCCGGTAGGCAAACTGGAACGGGTCGAGTGTTGGGGGGAGACTGGAGACGATGTGTTCCTTTACCAGCCTTTCAAAGCACTTCATCATGATGGGAGTCAGTGCGACGGGCCGGTAGTCGTTGTAGCAGGTGACTTGAGGTTTCTTTGGCACTGGGATGATGGAGGCAGACTTGAAGCATGCTGGCACTGTGGCTTGCTCCAGCGAGGTGTTAAAAATGTCCGTGAGGACACCAGCTAGCTGACCTGCACACTCCTTGAGCACCCGCCCAGGTATGTTGTCGGGACCTGGGGCCTTCCGCGGGTTGACCCTCCTCAGAGTCTTCCACACGTCGGCTGTGTCAAGGCAGAGAACCTCCTCTTCCTGATGTGGGACAGCCTTCACTGCTGGAGTGCGATTTAGTGCCTCAAACCTCCCAAAGAAGTTATTTAGTCCGTTTAGGAAGTCAGCATCAACTTCATCCACCGGGGCAGGGGGCGTGTTGTAGTCTGTGATCGCCCGTATGCCTTGCCACATGCTCCTGGTGTTGTTGGCGTCGTGGAACAGATGCTGGATTTTCTGGTTATGGTTCCGCTTTGCTAACCTGATGGCACGGTTCAGGGTGGCTCTAGCTGTCCTCAGTGCCTCCTTGTCACCAGACTTGAAGGCTGAGTTCCGTGCTTTTAGCGCGTGGCGGACCTCCTCAGTCATCCAGGGCCGTTGGTTGGCTCGGGTGGTGATGGTCTTTGAAATAGACCACACAAACTGGATTCCTAACAATTGGGCCCTTGATTTTACGTTATTACATCTTGTTCTACTCACCCATATGAGTTTTGTGTCATTCGGAGCTGTTCTGAAGATATTCCGTTAAGTTATATCCAAGTAACGTTGTCCTTGGGGCAGCGACTTGAAGGCACAAACTAAACTGTTCATAATGTATCATTTATGGTACGCCAGCATTCATAACATGTGGGTGAATCACTGTCCCCCAGACATCCGCGGTTATATTTTTTATATTATATATTTACTTTTAATGTGATTTGGCCCACTTGAAATGGAAAAAAAAATCTTTTTGTTCATGAGATGTGTGTTGTATGTTGTAAAGCTCAAGTTTGTGTACTTTGTGTCTTTGTATTTGTGTTTTAGTGTTAATGGTAATCTGACTGATTTATATCTCTATATTCTATATTATATCTATTATATCTCTATCTATTATATTTATATCTCTATATTTAGAGAGAAACATTGAAATAAAGAAATTGAAATTTGAGTCCACATTAAACTTTGTAAGAGTTGGAGGGGGGGCTGCAATTTGTAATTCTCATACAAAAGTAAATTATGCTACACTTAACTAGGAGCAGGTATATAATTTGTATAAGAAAAATAAATATACCGGTAATCAGCAGAATAATCCATTGTTGAGGGTTTGCAGGTTGAAGGAGAAATCAGGTGACATTAGAGAGGAAACTGCAGGAAGAGACGGTAAATGAGCTCAGACTGATCCTTCCAAAGCTCAATTTGGTAAAAATGTAATCTAACCTGTTCTCAAGGTAAACAAGCAAACTGGCGTTAAGTGAAAAATCCAGTCTGGTCAGTGGTAAAGAATATTTCTAGGAGTCAGGTTGACCTTGTGGACTTTTATAACAGGCAGATGGTGGGACATAAAACACTAACACCTTTATAAATGTGCATCTTCATTTATACTTATACTCATCTCTTGCTTCATCCAGCTCTGCTGGGAGAAGCCTGAGGAGCTCCTAGGCCAGCAGAGAGATATTGTCCCCTCTGCATGTCCTGGATCACCCCCTTGGCCTCCTCCCAGTGGGACGTGCATGAAACTTGTTAGATTCAAAATATTGTGAGTTCATATTTCATATAGGACAAAAATTAATCGGAAGCACAAAGGGTTTTTAAAAACAGAGCTTTTCCTGCAGGAATGAGAAAGGCTGCTGCTCACATCCCAGCACCCTTCTGACCCCCAACAGAACAGCAGAGTCTTTTATTCACAGAGCAGGGTTTTATGACCCTAGAATGACCAACTGGCTGAGAGGCAGGTCATAAAAGTTTATGACCCTGTAAATGCCTTCTGGCTGAAGGCAAGTCTAGAATGAACCTCCTGATTGAATCACAGGACAGAATGTAGCATCTTATTTCTTTAATGTTTCATATGCACACACATTAACTTTATAATCATTATTTGGTTAAACCTAACAAAACTCCTCCGGGGCAACAGAAAAAGATGTCCAAACCACCTCAGCTGACTCCTGTGGATATGGAGGAGAAGCAGTTCTACTCTGAGCCTCTCCTGGATGATTGCAAATGTGGTGCCAATAGGTGCTGATCAGAAAAAGGAACAAAGAGTGTTTCCAGAAAGTCTGTAAGAACTCTGTAAGTCATGTTCATTAATAAATAAGATTTATTCGATTTTTTAAAAATGGTCAGTGGGGGCTGATACCCAGGGGGTGGTGATGGGTCTGCAGTAAGCGGTTAGTTGCACCCCTGCATACCCCTGGACGAAGCAGTTGTTTTCAGCTCTTATGTTAATTTAGCCCTCTGCTCTTCTGCTTTATGCTCCCTTTGATTTATTTTATAACAAAAGTTCGATTTAGCTGCTTTTAATAATCCTGGTAACTTTTATGTTGAAAATATCAACATAAACACTGTACATTGGCGGTCTAATATAGTGTATTGTTTGAAACATACATTTTGTCAATATTGATTTATTGTTCCTAGTCACAGCTATCTATCCATCTATTTATCCATCCTTATGCCCATACCTGAAAACAGGCTAAAGAACACCCGGACAAGCTGGGTTATAGACATGGAAGCTTACTTTTTGGATTTTTCCCCACTAACTGTTAATTTAAAAGGAGCTGTTATCCCTTAAGAGTTGATCTGATACCTACTTGGTAACAATACCTTTGGCAGGTTGGATAAATCCACCCACCACTACAGGAGTGCAGCCCAGGCATGGACAATGAATGTACGGATCAAGAATAGAAATATTTCTGATCTATAAACTTATTCGTAGTAAAATGTCTCTGAGACGTAGCAGTGACCGTCTCTAAAAGTTTCAAATTACTTACCAGATAATATTTACTAGTGTTTATGAAGAACAGACTGGCCCACAGGTCTTCTCAGGGACAATATGTAATTTAAAGCCAATAACAAACATTTTCCTCAGTCTAATTATTTAGCAGTGATATAAATACAAACCGGATTCCAAAAAAGTTGGGACACTAAACAAATTGTGAATAAAAACTGAATGCAATGGTGTGAAGATGGCAAATGTCTATATTTTATTCGTAATAGAACATAGATGACAGCTCAAAAGTTTAATCTGAGTAAATGTAACATTTTAAAGGAAAAATATGTTGATTCAAAATTTCACAGTGTCTACAGATCCCAAAAAAGTTGGGACAAGTAGCAATAAGTGGCTGGGAAAAGGATATTGAGCATATAACGAACAGCTGGAAAACCAACTAACACTAATTAGGTCAATTGACAACAGGATTGGGTATAAAAAGATCCTCTCAGAGTGTCAGTGTCTCTCTGGAGCCAAGATGGTAAGAGGATCACGTATTCCACCATTGTTGCGCAGAAAGATAGTGCAGCAATACCAGAATGGTGTTGCCCAGCGTAAAATAGCAAAGACTTTTAAGTTATCATCATCAACTGTGCATAACATCATCAAAAGATTCAGAGAATCTGGACCAATCGCTGTGCGTAAGGGTCAAGGCCGTAAAGCTTTACTGGATGCTCGTGATCTCCGGGCCCTTAAACACCGCTGCACCTCAAACAGGAATGCTACTGTTAAGGAAATAACAGAATGGGCTCAGGAATACTTCCAGAAAGCATTGTCAGTAAACACAATCCGCCGTGCCTTCCGCCGTTGCCAGCTGAAACTCTACAGTACAAAGAGGAAGCCATTTCTAAGCAAGCTCCACAAGCTCAGCCATTTGCACTGGGCCAGGGATCATTTAAAATGGAGTGAGGCAAAATGGAAGACTGTTCTGTGGTCAGATGAGTCACGATTTGAAGTTCTTTATGGAACACTGGGACGCCGTGTCATCCGGACCAGAGAGGACAAGGATAACCCAAGCTGTTATCAACGCTCCGTTCAGAAACCTGCATCACTGATGGTATGGGGTTGCATGAGTGCTTGTGGCATGGGCAGCTTGCATGTCTGGAAAGGGATCATAAATGCAGAGACCTATGTTCAGGTTCTAGAACAACATATGCTTCCATCTAGACGTCATCTGTTTCAGGGAAGACCCTGCATTTTTCAACAAAATAATGCCAGTCCACATTCTGCAGCAATCACAACATCATGGCTACGTAGGAGAAGGATCCGGGTACTGAAATATCCAGCCTGCAGTCCAGATCTTTCACCTATAGAGAACATTTGGGGCATCATAAAGAGGAAGGTGCAACAAAGAAGGCCCAAGACGACTGAACAGTTAGAGGCCTGTATTAGACATGAATGGGAGAGCATTCCTATTTCTAAACTTGAGAAACTGGTCTCCTTTGTCTCCAGACATCTGTTGAGTGTTGTTAGAAGAAGGGGGGATGCCACAGAGTGGTAAAAATGGCCTTGTCCCAACTTTTTTGGAATTTGTTGACGCCATGAAATTTGGAAATAACATATTTTTATCTTAAAATGATACATTCTCTCAATTTAACATTTTGATCTGCGATTTGTGTTCTATTCTGAATAAAATATTTGTTTTTGACACCTCTACATCATTGCATTCAGTTTTAATTCACAATTTGTATAGTGTCCCAATTTTTTTGGAATCCGGTTTGTAATTCCTTAATTCTGTCTAATTTCTATATACACTTAATGTTCTGCAAAAATTGGTATATTCTGCTATTTAGAGTCTGAATGTCAGCAAGAGACATTTTGTTTTCATTCGAGCATTAACTTCTATTTCTTAACAGTGTTAAAAAATTATTATTTACAAATTATCTCAATTTGGTTTTTTATCTGACAGTTTTTTTTTTAAAGACTCATAGCTTACATGGTATAGTATTACAAAAAGAAGTTCGGTATTTTATTGATTACAAATGCAACTCCAAGTATTCAATAGTATACAATAAAACCCATAACAAAATAAGGATGAAATTACAACATAAAACAAGTTGAGAGATTCTAAGAAACAATATTTCAATAAAAAAAACATTTAATTCAATATAAGAATTATAAAGTCAACCTCTACTTTAAGCAAACATATTTTTTACTTTAAATTGTTATAGAAAATTAACAATAAAAAAAACACCAAAATATGAGAATTAGCACCTGACCAAAAATTAAATAGTCACATTCAGTATCAGCAAGAAACTACCAGTCATGAAATATTGAAAGTGATAACAGATTTACCAGCTTTATGAATGTTAATCAAAAGGAGAACCACTTACCAATAGCACATGATGCAAACTTTCGATTTTTTTTTTTTTTAAACCTCAATTTCAAAACAAAGATCTGTTGCAATAGCAAGAAAATCATCAAAATCTTTCAAAAATTTTGGAAAATTGAAATGTAATTTAAATTTTATTTTCAGCAGCTGTAGCATGCAGCAGTTCCATTTCCTCAGTCCCCATTTGCTGTCATTTTTCTGTTGAGACAATTAGACAGAAATATTATTTATACAATTTTTCTATGTTCAATTAATGGTTGAGTCATGAACACAAGGTAGAGATACAAGCTGCAAAAACAAGACTTTACCAGGTAGCAACGGTGTTTCTGATGAGACGCTGCCTTGGCTTTCCTTTGATTTGTTGCTTTCATCTGATTTGTTGCTTTCATCTGATTCGTTACTAGATACAGATGGTCTTGAGGCCTTGGTACGGTCTATATCTAGAAAATAAAAATGTATGTTAAAGTTTAATATTCAGCGAAAAATTACTCTTTAATATTTTCCTTTTTGATTTACCAAAAGCTGAAAGTTTCATACTAGTATTACATTTAATCCAGGTTCCCACTGATATCAGTGAAATAAATATCTAATCCTGATCTTAAATTGGTGCTCAGTGGTTGTTCAGAAAGACAAATGAACACTGATTTAGCTCCATCTAGAGTCTAGACCAAGGGCTAGAGGACTAATTTCAGACAATTTCAGAGGTTTTCCTGGGAAAGTTTTCCACTGTGGTTCTGATTTTTATTATCATTTTTATTATGCAGTGTAATAAGAATGTAAAAATTCTATGTTGAGTTATAAGTCATCTTGATTATGCTTTCCTCAAGCTTTTCGCAAAGACAAGGCAGGTGAACTACCTAACTTGTATGTGCTATATGTATATTTCTATGATGTTTCTATGTTTAATCACAATGAGTTGTGGACAGATGGTAGAGAAACAAGCTGCAAGAACAGGACTTTACCAGGTAGCAATGGTGTTTCTGATGAGGCGCTGCCTTGGCTATCGTCTGATTTGTTGCTTTCAACTGATTTCTCACTAGATACAGATGGTCTTGAGGCCTTGGTACGGTCTGTATCTAGAAAATAAAAATGTTTTTTAAACTTTCATCTTCTTTGGAAAAAAATACATTTTGTCAGTTTTGTTTTGTTTACCAAAGGCTAACAGTTTCATGCTAGTATTACATTTAATCCAGGTTCCCACTGATATCAGTGAAATAAATATCTAATCCTGATCTTAAATTGGTGCTCAGTGGTTATTCAGAAAGACAAATGAGCACTGATTTAGCTCCATCTAGAGTCTAGACCATGGACTAGAGGACTATTTTCAGAAAATGTCAGAGGTTGTCTTGGGAAAGTTTTCCACTGTGGTTCTGATTTTTATTAAAGCTTAGCTCATATTATCCTGAGCTATCTCTATAGTTATGCTGCTTAAGGCTTAGACTTTTGGAGGAACCCCCAGCCCCATGAGGGATTGCTGAAGAGTCAATGAGTCCATGCAATCAACTGGTTTTCCTTAGATAGAAAACTTTGAACCAATCTGACTGTATTATCTGATTGAATTGTCTTTATAAAGTGCTTTGAGATGACATGCGATTTAAACCGGAGCTACATAAACTGAATTGAAATTTATTTAATTGAATCATGAGCAAAAGTGCAAGATCCTGGAGAAATGTGGCTGAAATTAGCTTTCTCTGCATGGTGTCTGGGCAATCCCTTAGAGATAGGGTGAGGAGTCTCTGCTGAAACTGCTGCCTTTATGACCCGGTCCCAGATTAAGCAAAAAGACTATGGAAATTTTGGAACAAAAATGTTAAAGGAAACTATCCTTTTTGTGCCCCTTTTTTAAAACAAAAGAGCAACAGTTGAAATTTGTTTCAAAAGTAACTTAAAACAAATAAGTATCAGAAAGTTTAACATGGACTGTTAATTTTATCTTTCTGAGTGTGCATAGGTGTGTGTTGCGCGATGTATTTGTTATACTGTAAGGACAATTTCCCAAACAAATGCTACATTTATTGAAATTATAGGTACTATTGAGGACCAATTACTAATCCCCATGAGAAGTTTAGTTTAGTTTAGGTTGAGGTAGGGGTTGGTAATTGTAAGAGTAAAGGTCAGGCTTAGACCATAGAAATGAATGCAATATGAATTAAAATAAAAAGAAAGTCCCTAAAATAATAGTAGCTAAGTTAAGATGTGCAAAATTTTCCCAATCTTAATCTTGGTTGGTCTGAAATTCAAAATCTCTTTTTACATGTAGTAAATGTAAATGACGTGTAGGCATATACAAAGCGTTCGATCAGATGAAAGCATTTTAGCAAGCACAGAACTAGCTCTTTTATTTTATTTTTTCGAATGCTGCGATAGTAGAAGAAACTGTCTGTTTTGTAAACAAACACGTACTTGTCGGCTCATCCTTAAATTTAGCTACTCTTTGTGCCCGCCCATCACTTTTCTTTATCTTAAGTCGAATCTGTTAATGTTCTTTTTTTCAGTAATGAATCTGCTTCGCATCTTTGTATCCATACTTTAGTTGTTGGTGGTCATATTAGTGAAGTTAAGAGCTCAGCAGTAGCTTACATTAAGGCTTCTTCTGAGCCCAGAAACATAAACCCATCAGGCTATCAGAGTGTAGAGAGAACAGATCTGTGCAGGTTTATTTCCTCAACTATATTAACACTTGAACTCCTTTAGCTCATCAACAGCATCTCACTTTAACTCAGGATGTTCATCATGGTGTTACTGCTTTGTCTGCTTCACAATAGTCACGGTCTTCCTCTAAAATGATGTAAAACTAAATAATGACACAATTCAGTAGCAGTTTACTGAGTTTATAATATAGTTGTTAATACGTCTACTCTTTGTTAAATATGGAGGAAGTAAATGTTAAAAATGTAAATATGTTTGTTCATATTTAAAATAAACCTAAAATCCCAAAGTCTAAGAAAATAATTGTGTCCTGTAGTTATATTATGAAGTGAATGTTTCTATGCTGTTTCTACGTTCAATTAATGTTTGAGTCAAAGACACAAGGTAGAGAAACAAGCTGCAAGAACAAGACTTTACCAGGTAGCAGTGGTGTTTCTGATGAGGCGCTGCCTTGGCTTTCATCTGACTTGCCACTAGACAGAGATGATGTTGAGGCCTTGGAAGGGTCTGTATGTAAAAAAATTAAAAACTCTACGTTAATTTTCATCCTCAGTGAAAAAATACATCATTTCATGTTTTTTTTGTATCATTTAGCAAAAGCTTAAAGGAATAGTACACCCAAAACATGATTAGCCTTCATTTTCTACTCACCCCCATGCTGAACAACACTCTGGAGTACTTTTTTGATATCTCAAATGCATCTGGAGATCTGGGAGGCTTCTGACATTCAAATAATGGAGGTCTATGGTGACCGAGACAGAAAGGTCCATAAAAGTCCACAAAAAACGTGTCAATATTCCTCCATACTGCTCGTCCAATGTATTCCAAGTGTCCTGAGTGGGTAGCATCCAGAATTTACTCGAAACGAAGTCATTTAGAATGTTTTTAGAGCATAAACAGTAGTGTATAGGATTTCCTGAAAGCGCGCACCCGCACGTTCACAACGCTATGGAAGCCGGCAGACCAACCAGATGAAAGTGCGCATTCAGCGTCTGCTCTGCCGATAATGCAAGCATAGAAGAAAAAATGTGCTGTTTACCTGTGCAAAGAAAGAAACAACAAAAGAAAAATGTCTGAGGACTTCAGTGTTGAGGAAGAGCATGAGTTCTTTGCCGAGCTGAATGCGCACTTTCATCTGGTTGGTCTGCCGCGGTTTCCGTAGCGTTGTGAACGTGCGGGCGCCCGCTTTCAGGAAATCCTATACACTACTGTTTATGCTCTAAAAACATTCTAAATGACTTCGTTTCGAGTAAATTATGGACGCTACCCACTCAGGACACTTGGAATACATTGGACGAGCAGTATGGAGGAATATTGACACGTTTTTTGTGGACTTTTATGGACCTTTCTGCCTCGGGCGCCATAGACCTCCATTATTTGAATGTCAGCAGACAGCAAGAAGCCTCCCAGATCTCCAGATGCATTTGAGATATCAAAAAAGTACTCCAGAGTGTTGTTCAGCATGGGGGTGAGTAGAAAATGAAGGCTAATCATGTTTTGGGTGTACTATTCCTTTAAAGGTTTATAGTAGGAATACATATAATCTACCTTCCTACTGATATCAGTGAAATAAATATCTAAACCTGATCTTAAATCGGTGCTCAGTGGTTGTTCAGAGGGACAAATGAACGCAGTTTTAGTTGGATCTAGTAATCCTGTAGGCATATTATGAAGTTTATGTTTCCATGATGTTTCTATGTTCAATAAATGTTTGAGTCATGAACACATGGTAGAGAAAGAAGATGCAAAAACAGAATTTTACTAGGTAGCAATGGTGTTTCTGATGAGACACTGCCTTGGCTTTCCTCTGATTTGTTGCTTTCATCTGATTTGTCACTTGATAGAGATGCTCTTAAAGCCTTGATAAGGTCTGTATGTAGAAAATTAAAATGTATGTTAAAATCTTATCTTCAGTGAAAAAATATATTTTAACATTATCCTTTTTGATTTACTAAAAGCTAACAGTTTCATGCTAGTATTAGATTTAATCCAGGTTCCCACTGATATCAGTGAAATAAATATCTAATCCTGATCTTAAATTGGTGCTCAGTGGTTGTTCAGAAAGACAAATGAGCACTGATTTAGCTCCATCTAGAGTCTAGACCATGGACTAGAGGACTATTTTCAGAAAATGTCAGAGATTGTCTTGGGAAAGTTTTCCACTGTGGTTCTGATTTTTATTAAAGCTTAGCTCATATTATCCTGAGCTATCTCTATAGTTATGCTGCTTAAGGCTTAGACTTTTGGAGGAACCCCCAGCCCCATGAGGGATTGCTGAAGAGTCAATGAGTCCATGCAATCAACTGGTTTTCCTTAGATAGAAAACTTTGAACCAATCTGACTGTATTATCTGATTGAATTGTCTTTATAAAGTGCTTTGAGATGACATGCGATTTAAACCGGAGCTACATAAACTGAATTGAAATTTATTTAATTGAATCATGAGCAAAAGTGCAAGATCCTGGAGAAATGTGGCTGAAATTAGCTTTCTCTGCATGGTGTCTGGGCAATCCCTTAGAGATAGGGTGAGGAGTCTCTGCTGAAACTGCTGCCTTTATGACCCGGTCCCAGATTAAGCAAAAAGACTATGGAAATTTTGGAACAAAAATGTTAAAGGAAACTATCCTTTTTGTGCCCCTTTTTTAAAACAAAAGAGCAACAGTTGAAATTTGTTTCAAAAGTAACTTAAAACAAATAAGTATCAGAAAGTTTAACATGGACTGTTAATTTTATCTTTCTGAGTGTGCATAGGTGTGTGTTGTGCGATGTATTTGTTATACTGTAAGGACAATTTCCCAAACAAATGCTACATTTATTGAAATTATAGGTACTATTGAGGACCAATTACTAATCCCCATGAGAAGTTTAGTTTAGTTTAGGTTGAGGTAGGGGTTGGTAATTGTAAGAGTAAAGGTCAGGCTTAGACCATAGAAATGAATGCAATATGAATTAAAATAAAAAGAAAGTCCCTAAAATAATAGTAGCTAAGTTAAGATGTGCAAAATTTTCCCAATCTTAATCTTGGTTGGTCTGAAATTCAAAATCTCTTTTTACATGTAGTAAATGTAAATGACGTGTAGGCATATACAAAGCGTTCGATCAGATGAAAGCATTTTAGCAAGCACAGGACTAGCTCTTTTATTTTATTTTTTCGAATGCTGCGATAGTAGAAGAAGAAACTGCCTGTTTTGTAAAAAAACACGTACTTGTCGGCTAATCCTTAAATTTAGCTACTCTTTGTGCCCGCCCATCACTTTTCTTTATCTTCAGTCGAGTCTGTTAATGTTCTTTTTTTCAGTAATGAATCTGCGTCGCATCTTTGTATCCATACTTTAGTTGTTGGTGGTCATATTAGTGAAGTAAGGAGCTCAGCAGTAGCTTACATTAGGGCTTCTTCTGAGCCCAGAAACATAAACCCATCAGACTATCAGAGTGTAGAGAGAACAGATCTGTGCAGGTTTATTTCCTGAACTATATTAACACTTGAACTCCTTTAGCTCATCAACAGCATCTAACTTTAACTCAGGATGTTCATCATGGTGTTACTGCTTCACAATAGTCTTCCTCTAAAATGATGTAAAACTAAATAATGACACAATTCAGTGATAGTTTACTGAGTTTATAATATAGTTGTTAATACTTCTACTCTTTGTCAAATATGGAGGAAGTAAATGTTAAAAATGTAAATATGTTTGTTCATATTTAAAATAAACCTAAAATCCCAAAGTCTAAGAAAATAATTGTGTCCTGTAGTTATATTATGAAGTGAATGTTTCTATGCTGTTTCTACGTTCAATTAATGTTTGAGTCAAAGACACAAGGTAGAGAAACAAGCTGCAAGAACAAGACTTTACCAGGTAGCAGTGGTGTTTCTGATGAGGCGCTGCCTTGGCTATCATCTGATTTGCCACTAGACAGAGATGATGTTGAGGCCTTGGAAGGGTCTGTATGTAAAAAAATTTAATACTCTACGTTAATTTTCATCCTCAGTGAAAAAATACATCATTTCATTTTTTTTGTATCATTTAGCAAAAGCTTAAAGGTTCATAGTAGGAATACATATAATCTACCTTCCTACTGATATAGGTGAAATAAATATCTAAACCTGATCTTAAATCGGTGCTCAGTGGTTGTTCAGAGGGACAAATGAACACAGTTTTAGTTGGATCTAGCAATCGTGTAGGCATATTATGAAGTTTATGTTTCCATGATGTTTCTATGTTCAATCAATGTTTGAGTCATGCACACATGGTAGAGAAAGAAGATGCAAAAACAGGACTTTACCAGATAGCAATGGTGTTTCTGATGAGACACTGCCTTGGCTTTCCTCTGATTTGTTGCTTTCATCTGATTTGTCACTTGATAGAGATGCTCTTAAAGCCTTGATAAGGTCTGTATGTAGAAGATTAAAATGTATGTTAAAATCTTATCTTCAGTGAAAAAATATATTTTAACATTATCCTTTTTCATTTACCAAAAGCTAAAGGTTTCATACTGGTATTACATTTAATCCAGGTTCCCACTGATATCAGTGAAATAAATATCTAATCCTGATCTTAAATTGGTGCTCAGTGGTTTTTCAGAAAGACAAATGAACGCTGATTTAGATCCATCTAGAGTCTAGACCATGGACTAGAGGACTAATTTCAGACAATTTCAGAGGTTGTCCTGGGAAAGTTTTCCACTGAGGTTCTGATTTTTATTATCCAGTGTAATAAGAATGTAAAAATTCAATGTTAAGTTATAAATCATCTTGATTAAGGCTTTCCTCAAGCTTTATGCAAAGACAAGCAGGTGAACTACCTAACACGTATGTGTGTGTGTGTGTGTGTGGGTGTGTGTGTGTGTATATATATATATATATATATATATACACTCACCGGCCACTTTACTAGGTACACCTGTCCAACTGCTCGTTAACACTTAATTTCTAAGCAGCCAATCACATGGCGGCAACTCAGTGCATTTAAGCACGTAGACATGGTCAAGACAATCTCCTGCAGTTCAAACCGAGCATCAGTATGGGGAAGAAAGGTGATTTGAGTGACTTTGAACGTGGCATGATTGTTGGTGCCAGAAGGGCTGGTCTGAGTATTTCAGAAACTGCTGATCTACTGGGATTTTCACGCACAACCATCTCTAGGGTTTACAGAGAATGGTCCGAAAAAGAAAAAACATCCAGTGAGCGGCAGTTCTGTGGGCGGAAATGCCTTGTTGATGCCAGAGGTCAGAGGAGAATGGCCAGACTGGTTCGAGCTGATAGAAGGGCAACAGTGACTCAAATAACCACCCGTTACAACCAAGGTGGGCAGAAGAGCATCTCTGAATGCACAGTACGTCAAACTTTGAGGCAGATGGGCTACAGCAGCAGAAGACCACACCGGGTGCCACTCCTTTCAGCTAAAAACAGGAAACTGAGGCTACAATTTGCACAATCTCATCAAATTGGACAATAGAAGATTGGAAAAACGTTGCCTGGTCTGATGAGTCTCGATTTCTGCTGCGACATTCGGATGGTAGGGTCAGAATTTGGCGTCTACAACATGAAAGCATGGATCCATCCTGCCTTGTATCAACGGTTCAGGCTGGTGGTGGTGGTGTCATGGTGTGGGGAATATTTTCTTGGCACTCTTTGGACCCCTTGGTACCAATTGAGCATCGTTGCAACGCCACAGCCTACCTGAGTATTGTTGCTGACCATGTCCATCCCTTTATGACCACAATGTACCCAACTTCTGATGGCTACTTTCAGCAGGATAATGCGCCATGTCATAAAGCTGGAATCATCTCAGACTGGTTTCTTGAACATGACAATGAGTTCACTGTACTCAAATGGCCTCCACAGTCACCAGATCTCAATCCAATAGAGCATCTTTGGGATGTAGTGGAACGGGATGTGCAGCCGAAGAAACTGCGGCAACTGTGTGATGCCATCATGTCAATATGGACCAAACTCCCTGAGGAATGCTTCCAGCACCTTGTTGAATCTATGCCACCAAGAATTGAGGCAGTTCTGAAGGCAAAAGGGGGTCCAACCCGTTACTAGCATGGGGTACCTAATAAAGTGGCCAGTGAGTGTATATATGTGTATATATATATGTGTATATATATATGTGTATATATATATGTGTGTATATATATATATATATATACAAGTTTTCTGCTCTATGCTCAATGAAGCTGTGGAAAACAAGTCTGGAAGCCAATGCAAAGCCAATAGCACAAGTCACCATCAAGTGCGGAATATACCAGGGTGATGCACTATCCCCGCTGCTGTTCTGCATAGGCCTGAACCCCCTCAGCCAGATCATCACAAAGACTGGCTACGGATACCAATTCCGAAGCGGAACAATCATCAGTCACCTCCTCTACATAGATGACATCAAGCTGTATGCCAGAAGTGAGCGAGACATCGACTCACTGATCCACACTACCAGGATCTACAGCAACGACATTGGGATGTCATTCGGACTGGACAAGTGCGGTCGCATGGTCTCAAAGAGAGGGAGGATGATCAGAACCGAGGGGGTTGAACTACCAGAAGGCCACATTACAGATGTTCAGGACAGCTAGAAATACCTTGGGATGTCACAGGCTAACAGAAACCACGAGGAGATGGCAAGAAAGACTGCCACAGCTAAATACCTACAAAGAGTAAGGCAGGTCCTGAAAAGTCAGCTGAATGGGAAAAAAAAGATCCAAGCCATCAACACATATGCCCTGCCAGTCATCAGATACCCCGCTGGTATAATAAACTGGCCAAAGGAGGAGATAGAGGCTACTGACATCAAGACGAGAAAGCTCCTCACAATGCATGGAGGGTTCCACCCCAAATCCAGCACTCTGAGACTGTATACCAAGCGTAGCGAGGGAGGCCGAGGGCTAGTGAGTGTCAAGACCACTGTCCAGGATGAAACAACTAAGATCCATGAGTACATCAGAAAGATGGCCCCCAAAGACAAATGGCTTGGTGAGTACCTCAGGCAGGAGAAAACCAAAAGTGAGGACAAGAAAGAGGAAAGAGAACCATCATGGAGGGACAAGCCGCTGCACGGCGTATACCACAGACAAATAGAAGAAGTGGCTGATATCAAAAAAATCCTACCAGTGGCTGGAAAAGGCTGGACTGAAGGACAGCACAGAGGCACTAATCATGGCAGCACAAGAACAGGCACTCAGTACAAGATCAATAGAGGCCAGGGTCTACCACACCAGGCAGGACCCCCGATGCAGACTGTGCAAAGATGCCTCTGAAACAATACAGCACATAACAGCGGGGTGTAAAATGCAGGCAGGAAGTGCATACATGGAACGCCACAACCAGGTAGCTGTCATAGTGTACAGGAACATCTGCCATGAGTATGGGCTGGAAGTCCCAAGGTCAAAATGGAAGACACCTCCTAAGGTAGTTGAGAATGACCGAGCTAAGATCCTATGGGACTTCAAGATCCAGACTGACAAACAGGTGATGGCTAACCAACCAGACATCATGTTGATCGACAAACAGCAGAAGAAGGCAGTAGTGATAGATGTGGCAATCCCAAGCGACAGCAACATCAAGAAGAAAGAACACGAGAAGCTTGAGAAATACCAAGGACTGAAGGAGGAGCTAGAAAAGATGTGGAAAGTAAGAGCAGCAGTGGTGCCAGTGGTATTTGGAGCACTGGGGGCTGTGACCCCCAAACTGGGAGAGTGGCTACAGCAGATTCCAGGTAAAACATCAGAGGTCTCTGTCCAGAAGAGCGCAGTCCTAGGAACAGCTAAGATACTGCGCAGAACCCTCAAACTCCCAGGCCTCTGGTAGAGGACCCGATATATATATATATATATATATATATATATATATATATATATATATATATATATATATATATATATATATATATATATAGGCATATTGTTTCTATGTTCAATCAACGTTTGAGTCGTGGACAGAAGGTAGAGAAACAAGATGTAAAAATAAGACTTTACCAGGTAGCAGTGTTTTTTCTGATGAGACGCTGCCTTGGCTTTCATCTGATTTGTTGCTTTCATCTGATTTGTTGCTTTCATCTGATTTGTCACTAGATAGAGATGCTCTTAAAGCCTTGATAAAGTCTGTATGTAGAAGATTAAAATGTAAGTTAAAATCTTATCTTCAGTGAAAAAATAAATAAAGTACTTGGCACCTTAATGTTTTCAAATTATAAAAATAAATGATCTGGTAATTAGTTACAACTAGTATAGACCCAATAACAGTATATACGTAAACCTAGTGTTACTTCAGTACGTGAAATTAGAATGTTTAAGAAAAAGTTTAGCAGTTTGACTGTAGTTGCTCATCTTCAGATAAAGTTAAATCAAAATTGTTTACCAATGTTAAAACCAATCCGAGCTCCTATGAATTATTCTGACTGAAAATTTCTGTTCTAGTTCACACACTTTAAACAAATATCCTGCTCAAAACCTTTGACTATCTTACATAAACTCTAAGAAGTTAATTTTCTTTTTATTTATTTTGTTATCATGTCCAATCCTATTGTTTACCAGTTTTGGTCTTTTTTAACCCAATGAAGCTGCGAGCTACTAGACCATTAATATGATAACACAGAGTGATAGTTTTTATTAACTTTAACCCAGTTTCAATCCTAAACAACTAAAATAAGGGAAAAGGGAAATCAAATATTAATCTCCCACCTTTCTTCTTGATGTAAAGAAGGTTAAAACCGACTACTATCTCAGCAATGAGACCAAGGAGAACCACAGCTCCACCAACAGCAACAAGGATCATGTTGGTATTTGCTGTTGAGAAGACAAACCAGGACAGTGATTTAGAATAACTTTTTTATTCACATCTTAAATAAATTAATACATAAATTTGTCTAAACACCATAATACATTTAGGGCCTTGTTCATCTTTTAGTTGCTCTGTTTTCCAGCCTTCCATATGTTTCATCTCAGTTACCATAGCTCTGAGTTTTTAATGTGTATAGTTTTTATTTTTAAGTTATATAAAGCTTAAAATGAAAAATCCATTTAAAAAGTTAATAAAGTCTCACATATGCAATAACCTCAAAAACAATGCAATTCCAAGGTTTTAAGTGGGACTAGTTTTTCCTGATGGTTAAAATGAAACACAAACAATTGGAGTAGAATGTAGTTGAAATGCTTGGACTCCCCTGAGTTGAAAAAGGTAAAGGTCATTTACCACAAGCCATAAAAGCGAATCTAAAAAGACAAGTAAGCAGAAAGAACTTTGACATCAGCTGATTTTTACCAATATTTACCTTAGTAACTTACCTTCATAGTTAGTTCTTGGTTTCTCCAGTCTATAAATTATGTATTTGTCAACACCAGAGAGCTGAAACACACATTCATATTTGGTCCAGTCCTCAGATGATGAAAGGTTCAGGTCAACGCTCATCTGGAAAGTTCCATCATGGTTAGGGAGGATCTCTCCTTTCTCCACACCATCATGGATCTCTGCTCCATCTTTCCTCCAGAACATTTCTGCTCTGTTGGGGTAGAAACCTGTAGCAAAGCAGCTGATTGGAGAGGAGGAAGACTTCTGGAGGAAGGACACTGAGGGAAGATCTGGACATGGAGACAATTAGAGGTTAAATATAAACTGTTTGTGGATTAATGTTAGTTAAAGCCAAGTCGCATTTAAAATGTAGTAAAAAAAAATTCCATTTGGACATTTCTAGTAAACTAAAAAATTCAAATAATCTGTTAATCTAAAGAAAAATCAGGAAAAGTTTCTCTACCTGTTCTCACCAGAGAGCTCCTACCATAGTTCACATACTTCTTCAGCCACTCAGGACACTCTTGGTTGAAGTAGTCCTTATAGTAATCCAGATGAGCTCTGTTATTGTTCCATTTCTGTATAGTAAGTACAGCCTGTTGTTTTGGAGCAATCCAGGTGTTTTTCTCTGTGTTCCAGATTAAGAAGTCTTCCCCATCATAGCCATACTGTTGATAGCCAGTAACATCTCCACTCTCATCATCCCACTCACAGCCGTACATGTACTGGAAAATGTGAACACCTAGAAGACAGTAAATACAATCTCACTTTAATTTTAAGTGTTATCTATGTTCATTTTTATTAAAGCACCTTCAAAAATCTAAGAGATAAACTAAGACTAACTGTTGAGAAAAATTGTGTATCATCCTTTATAGAAACTTTCATCGTGTACAGATTTACTGCCTACATAGTTTATTTTCTTTCATCAAAGTACTGTAACTTCATATAACCCAAACTGTTGATATGAAGGAATTGTAGAAGATTATGGATTGAACAATTTAATGTTTCTCTCCAGCTTCTCCAACTCTGTTCTCCATCCTCCATCAGTGTCTCTGATCTGCCTGCTTCCTCTCAGTCTCTAATGTTTCAGCTGATCTTCTCTCCTCCATCTCTGTGTTTCCTCTCTAAACATGGAAACAAACAGACCTGTCCACAGATCTCCTCACTAGAACCAGAACCACTGACCCAGGAGCTCCTTCTCTATAAAGCAGCTCCATCTAAAGTTTCTCTGATTAGAGGAAACATGATTACAGCTTTTCTTGTTGCTCTTTTACAGCCTGAGCTTCAAGCTTCCATCGGTCTTATGGTTCCAAAAAATATCTTCTCACATTTTCAGACTAGATGTAACTAGGTCGACTGATGTGTCATGAAAATAAAATCTGTATAATTTTGCTATGCAGTATTAACGAACATATTAAGACTACTTTAAAAACTTGAATGTTCCAAGTATTATGAATTATTTTTGTTGTTCTGTCTTAATTATCCAGCATGATGGAGCCTCTCAGCAGCTCAGAGACTAAAACACTCAGGATGCTGAATGGAGACATGAGAACAGGTCAGATTTCTATCAGCTGATATTATTATCATAAAAATCAATCCTCATCTCATGATCTTCCTCATGTTGAACAGCCTGTGATAAAATCAATCAGTTTTTCTCTCAGTAATATTTCCTTGTTTAATGAAGTCGACCTTCATGGATCAGAGCTGATGATCTGCTCTGTTGTCATGACGACTGACAGAGATCAAACATTCATGGAGAATCTTTAACAAAGTTAACTTCGTGGTTTTAATGTCGATCTATGAGCAAAAACACTCAGATGGTCCAACCACAGTTTGAATCATTTAGTAACTCAGGCTGCTGATTTATTCTGATCTAAACATAGAAATTACACTGAATAATTTCTACTCACAATGTTTAGGAGTTTTGTGTTTTTCATACTGATTTATAAAGTTTTCTATAAATTATTTCAATTAAATTTCAACTCAGTTCATTTCTATAGCGCCAATTCATAACACATGTCATCTCAAGGCACTTTACAGTTCACCAGATCATACAGTCAAATTGATTCAAATTTTTCTAAGGAAAACCATGCTTGTAGTGACAGTGGAGAGGAAAAACTCCCTTTTAACAGTAAGAAACCTCCATGTGAACCAGGCTCAGTGTGAGCGGCCATCTGCTGAGCCCGACTGGGGTTGGCCTCGGCAGGAGGTCAGAGACACAAAAAGCAGCTGTAAAAGGCGGCCCCGTCCAGGAAAGACAGAGCTAGGTAGACAAGCTCCGAGCCAGCTGACATGCCAGAGGATGATGAGAGCACATCCAGCCAGCCAATCACAGTCAGAAAAACAGGACTACACTGGAAAACAGGCAGATCTCCAACATCTATAAACAAAGGTGTTGATGTCGGCAGCACAGCTGATATTTCTCTACAGGATGGAGTCACAGCCAAACAGGAACAGACAAGGCGAAACTACTATAAGAAAATGCAGAGACAGCATAACGTTAGAGATTGAACTAACAGATTCTGCAGAGTGGGAAAATGGAGAGAGAATGAAGCAGAATTATGAAAAAGGGGTCCCTATGTCCTCCAGAAGTCAAAACCTATAGCAGCATAACTATAGAGATAGCTCAGGATAACCTGAGCCACTCTAACTTTAAGCTTTATCAAAAAGGAAAGCTTTAAGCCTAGCCTTAAAAGTAGACACGGTGTCTGCCTCACGGACTAAAACTGGCAGTTGGTTACTAACGGCGTTACCTTGTTTTAGTAACGAGTAATCTAACTAATTACTTTGACTGTAGCTATAACGCAGTTACCATTGCAGACACCCCGTTACTGCGCGTTACTCAGGTCGCACAATGAACCTTTTTTCATGATAGGACTCGTGCGCGCGTCATGAGAGAGGGGGGGATGAGAATGGCTGATGTATAGTGAGATTCCGTCTGTCAGTTGGGTAGGTGGGTGTTCCCGATGGTGGGTGTTAGCATACAGCACACACAGAGAGATGGAGAGTGAGGAGGACTCAGCAGCAAAACAGCGTTTTCCAGATGGAAATACCGGTGTTACGTCGAGCTGCGTTTCCCCATCACATACGGTTTCCCCTGCATCTCCACACAGTGCAGGCGGCACGATTCACCGCGCAAGCGACAGGAAACGCGCATGCTCGCTAAGGCGCGCAACAGTCGCCCTGTGCTTGCACCATAGGAGAACTATGGAGAGCGTGAACAATGAAATGATAGCCTATATGGAGAAAGGGAGAAATCTGGATGGATGGATGGATGGATGGATGGATGGATGGATGGATGGATGGATGGATGGATGGATGGATGGATGGATGGATGGATGGATGGATGGATGGATGGATTTACACTGCTGTATTGCACACTGCTCTATTTGCACTACCTTGTACATTTTGCTTTTTATATTTTTTTGCATCCATATTTTTATCCTAAGTGTATGTATACCCCAGTGTTTTTAGAGATTTTTATAATTTTATTTACCTTTTTCATATTATATTTTTCATGTTTTACGATTGTACCATAAAAAATTCCTAGTTTGTGAACTCCTTCACTAACAATGGCAATAAACCCAATTCTGATTCTGATATTTTATGTCACACACAGAGTATACATCTAGATAGATAGATGGATAGATAGATAGATGTTGCAGTATCTATAACAACCCAAACACACAGGATTTCAGAATTAGACATCCCCAGTTATTAATTTCATATACTCACCAGATCTGAATGTCCTGTTAAAAAACTTCACATTGCGTTCCCCCCTGATGTCATTTACGTTGAGTTGCAATAAATGCAAAACTCTCTGCAGGTTCTTGTCTTTGTCGTCCGCTCTATTCAGCTGGCTTTTAAAACACACGGCAAGAAGGTGGGGGCTGGGTGGTGAGGGTTACGGGGGCGAGAAACGCAAAAGTAATGCAATAGTTACTTTTACTAGTAACTAGTTACTTTTATTGTGGAGTAACTCAGTAACTCACAGTGTTGGGCTCGTTACTTTGAAAAAGTAATTAGTTATTGTTACAAGTTACTTCTCCCAAAAAGCAACTGAGTTACTGAGTTTAAACCCCGTTCAGTTTCTATGGCTACCTCAGATGCTGCCTCACCATCCAGAGATAAAGCAGTCGTAGATAGATGAATGCTTATGATCTTATTTTTAATAAAGTCGATCTTATTTATAAGATTCCCATAAAATCATTACTTCTAAGAGTAGGTGGAATGGACGGTTCAACTAAGCTATGGCTCTGGGTGAGTTTGGCAACTGTATTAAAAAGATTTCTAGGATTATTCTTATTCTCTCCTATTAATGAGGAGAAATTTGTTGCTCTTGCTTTACAAAGGGTCCTCTTATTCAGCAGTAAACTATTTTTCCAGACTAGGTAGGATTTCCGTAGGCCTGTGAAACGATATTTTCTCTGCGCTTCAAAGTGGGTAGCTCTGCATTAAATCAAGGAGCCAGCTTTCATTTTCAAAGGAGCTGCGTTGTATAAGGCAGTACACAGAGAACTAGCAATCCCATCAACAAAATCCTCAACCTGTGAAGGGAATTAAACTAAGCTTTTGCACTCTTCAGCACTGCTCCGTGACACAGAGGACAGAGAAAGTGAAACAGATTTATTTTTTTATAACTGCACTATCTGATAATGATCTGCTAAAGTGAAAGCTTCTTTTGGGGGAGTAGAACTCTTATTAAAATTAATAAGGTTAAATAGAGTCCCATTGAAGTAAAATGATGAATACAAACTGCTGCACCTAAACTGATGCAAACAGATCAGAGTTATTTCAATTTGAAAAACTCAAAAGGAGAGAAAAGACAGAAGACATTTATTGATACAATTACTTTGTCTTTGGCGCTCAGACCTCGGCAGGAAACAAAACACTTAATTTTGATTGATATGCATAAACAGGAGGAAAGAATACATCTCCCCCCCCCCCCCCCCCCCCCCCCCCCCCCCCCCCCCCGCCAGGCCTGAAACTGGTGGTGGAGTGGAGATAGATGAAGTTGGTCAGTCTGTAGACTGCTGGTTAGCGAGCCGGTATGCTGAGCTTTATGGGGAGATCCAGTGGACTGCGTGAGCTGATACTAGAGCTTCACTCAGGGACCTGGA